TTTAGGATGTCCCTCTCTTTCTACCTCCTTGAGAAGAAATCCATTTTCTTTTCCAACTAGGAATTGTGCCTGGTCTTACGATTGGGACACATGGGCTGGAGATTCTCTGAGGAGCAAGACGCCACAGGAGCAGATCTATGGCAAAGGCTGAGAACTGTGCCCAGGCAGGGAACACTTCGCTGCACCATCCCTGCCCTGGAGATGGACCAACAAAGAGCAAATTAGCAATCAGTATACATTTGCATCAAAACTGGCAAACATATTGTCAGAGCCAGGAACTTCTGGTATGCCAGGAACAGGTATGTCAGGATTTTTCATATTCTCTTAACAGACAAATAGCTCTTCTCTTAAATCACTGGCCATTTCTAATGCAACAAAATAGACCATAGGAACACATGCTGAAAATAACTAAATATAATAAATAATTAAAAAATGACTAAAATATAACAACATTGTTAAGAATATTTAGAAAAGGAACCAGAAAGTGACATAGATCTGGCATGAGCTTACCACTAAGGACAAGGGCAGCTACACCAGATATGCAGAATTTTAGCGAATCACTCAGCCAGTCTTTCCAGACAAAAAAAAAAGCAAGGGAATTGAGACGTTTCTGTGTTGGCTTTTGTGTCTTTCTTTGGGTGTTTGCAGCTCACGGTATTTACGTTAAATTAATACTGCTGACTATGTATTCTGTACATTGAGGTTAAATAACTGATAGTGTCATAGCTGCTGGCCACTTCTCCCCAGCCCCTCTCCTAGTTAGCTGGTCTTTTTTGTCCTTACTTCTCTCCCAGGAAATGCTGACATTTTTCCAGAGTGGACACTATGTGCCATTCACTCAGCTCAAGATTAAACACCCTCTCTTCTAGGCCACTTTCTCCTTTTCCTCCTTCTGCTTGTAGTGAGGGTGGACACCAACATGGGCACTGACTTATATCTGTACAGCTGGGACTGTGATGCAACAAGCTGAACAACAGCACATTTTCCCAGTGCTTGTCCCGATTCCTCTGTTGGAAACAAATCTTATTTGCTTCAGTAAAGCTATAAACTCAAGGGTGAGGTAGGCCTTGATTTGGCAATGCTTTCTGCCTCCCACACCTCTCTGGTAGAAATGTTCACGTGAGGCCAGATAATTCAAAGAGGGAAAAAAAATGGAAGAATCACACCTTTAAAAAGAATGTAATTTCTCCATGGCAGTTTTCCACTGCTTTTCATTTTTTTCCTTCAACCAGGCATTTTGAGAATGTATCATTTAAAACAATCAAATTCTCAGAAGAAATTTATTTTACAATGCCCCTTTTCAGAGACGTTTGCACGCAAACTGAGAATTTTCAGGTTTCCCAGGTGGATGAACCTTGTCCGGGCAGAAGCCCATGATAGCTTATGTTATTCAGCATGGCATTATCCCATGCTGTTTACTTATAGCTTGCTGAAAATGAGGGACGATGGAACACGTTTTCCAGGGCACACCCTGACTTTATTCTTAGTAAATTCTATTCTCGGCCTAGAAAATCACAATTCTTTGAGCACTTTTTAAAATAATACCTGCTCATTTTCAGCTGTGGGGAGAAGGTGACAATAACCCCTTCAGTACCTCCATTGACAAGCAAAGGGGGCAACTTCAGAAGACAGCCTAACCACCACCTGGGAGACAGAGCTGCAGTGGCAGAGCATGAATTCCTCAAATTCAGAGAATGAGCTTTGGGGATGAGGGAATCCTCTAATAAAATAAACAGAAAATTAAATTCGCCTCCCTTTTTCTCTCACATGTCTCCCATCTACGCCTGCCTGGGAGAGAACAACGTGGTGCCTAGACATTAGCACTATCAGCACAACTCATTGACGTTATACAAACACAGGGGTCACATTTCGCCTCTGGCTGGACTCAAGGGAATCCTCTTTCCTCCTGAGAAGGCTAATGCTGCATCCTGGTGATGAGCACAGGTACCATCAGTACTGGAATGCCAGTCCTTGTCACTACACTTGTAGCTCAGCCTGAGACTACCTGTATATAGACAGGAGTGCATGTCACAGGAAGCACCTGAGCGGTGCTGGAGGCCATACTGTGGCCATGGGGAGCGGATGGTGTCTACCAACCCCACAGAGGTTCTACAGAGACTAAAGCTGTATTAGAAATGAGACTCATGTCATGCTGCTACTATTTCTATGCATTTCTCCATGTGCAAATAGTAAAATTAATAAAGCATCTTCTATCATCCGTCCAAACTCATCTGGACAACCGCATCAAATATGTTATAAAACACGGGTGTCACTTCTTTTTAAGTGGAAGCTTTGAGTTTCACAGGGACAAGTTCCGTAACTCTCTTCTACAAATTAGGAAGCTTGACTATCCAGAATTAAAACAAAATTCTAGAAAAAATTCCATTTTGTATTGACATACATATGTATTACGTGTGTGTGCATGCAGCCAACCCTGTGCCCCTGTGTATTGTTCTGAACAGCACTAGGTCACACAGAAAATTGAATGTATTTAAATAAGGTGCAACAACTTCTCCCTGCTCCAAACAAGGTCCATGGACAATGATGCTCTTTCCTGGTTATATTTACATAAGAAAATGGATTATATTTACAAACAGAAATAAAGTTAAACAGCATAGCATCATTTCAGACTAAGTTTGGCTGTTCTAGTGCTCCTCTCTGAAGTTTGGTGAGTCTACACCCTATATTTTCCCCACGACTACTTATCACATCTGCAGTACCATAAATCTGCCAACTTTTCCTGTCATGTCTACTGCTAATTAGGCTTTGTTGGGGTTTTCAACTCTCACACTCTCACATTAGATAAATGCAGTGGCTATAAGCACTGCTAACTGCATTACTGGTTATTGAGGCACTTTCGGTGGTCATGCTAAACCAGCGATAATAAAACAGACTTGTGTGGACACTGCCAGAGAGTCAACAAACCCTATTTAGTGCTCCCTAAGTACTGCCCATAAAATATTTAAAAAAGGAAAGAGAAATAATAACTTTCTGTGGTTTGGGTTTTTTTTTTTGGGGGGGGGGGCACAACATGACACCAATCAAATTAACCTGCCCCTGCTGAACCTGGGTATAACTAATCATATGAAAGCCAAAAGGTATTTATTTTAATTTTTAGAAAAAGCTCCTTTAGAAGTATATTTAAAAACATCTAACATTTCAACAAGAGTTGATAGTTATTGAAAGTTACACAAAAAATAACCACTACAAAACTTGTCTGAAAATATAGTAACAAAAATAAAAGTAATTCACGTGAGTCCTTTATAAGAGTGATCTCTATAGCCAGAAATGAGATGGCAGTATACTACAGCTAATGCAGATATTATAGCCAAATATATTTGTGGTAACACATCTAAAAGAGAAAGAATGAAAACTGATGTGCAGATACTCTGCAAAAGATTCAAATACTACTAAAAATTGGGGGAGAGGGAGAGTAGAAGGAGGGGAGGGTACAAGTCTTAATCATTATTTCATGAGGCCCATATTCACAAAGCAATTTTTTACAGATGGTTGGAGGTATTTCTCAGCCTTTAACTGACAGGAATACAGGAGCCTCACAGGCCTTAAGTAGCAATTCTATTCATAGGCTCTTAGCCTTTATATAATTGTATCAAGTACAGTAACAGACGTAAATTAACATGCGCTCACCTCCTGCTCCTATCAATGTATGCCTTGACCTTTTAAGAAACCTCAAGAGTAGAACTAGTTTAGTATTTGATACATTCTCTTTTGGGGGAGATTAAATGCTGGTCTAGGAGGTGCATGTACTCAAGGCTCTAGCAGGCCTTACCCACCTTTAGCTAAAGAATCTGCTTTTCTTCAATACCTATAAATAAGCAAAGTTTGTCTACTTTGGTGGTAAATGAGCTGACACCAGTAAAGCACTGCTAAGCTTTATGGGTCCTAATGAAGTGTTTAACCTGAGTCAGGTGGTAGCAGAGCCCCCAACTTCTGAAGACATCTGCCCGTAATGACAGCTTTCTGAAGAAAGATATTTTTGTGGTTTTACAGCAAATCATCCATCACAAGTTGTGGGTAGATAACGGCCATCAAGAAATTAGATGCCAAAATGAAAAGACAAAAATGGACTTCTTGCAAAAATCCTTCCTATGAATTTCATTTACTCATAAATTGAATTTAAAATCCAAAAGGAAAAAAATGAATATAAAATTAAAAATGTAAAAACACTTTGCTGTAGTTACTTGTCTATAAGCTTTTAATTTTGTAACTGGAATGTATTTCGTCTTTCTCCAAAGTTGCCATGTTTGGAAGCAGAGCAGGGTACAATGGCTAAAAATGAGTCAAACAAGGATATTTTTGGTTGTTTTAATGGGGTGGGGTCCTTTTGCTTTTAAAATATGTGCTATAAATTAATTTGCCTCTTGATTTTTCTACCTCATGACTATAGTAGTAGGCAGAAAATTGTACTAGCTGTCTCAAGGATTGTGCATTTAAAAAAAAGAAGAAGAAAAAAAACTACGAGAAAAAACTACGAGAACTGCAAATGTCGGACAATGCATTTAACTATGAAGTGGAAGAGTGTTAACTAGCAAATGAAGAAAGAAAGATGAGGTAAGTAAATAGATTCTAGGCAATGCTCATTAACTTTTTTTCTTCCCCATCTTCTTACGACGACAGGTTTCACTTGAAATCACTTTGACGGTCTGTTTATATATAATTTATATCAACTTTACTTGGATTTCCCCCCCTCTTTCAATGACCTGACCTCCCTTCCACCAGCATGGGCTTTCTCCCGTGTGGATGAGAGGTGTTAGCCTGTACACAGGGGCTGCAGGTGCTGCCTTGAGCCCTATCAGTGCTGGAGGTCCCCGAGGAGCTGTGGCCTAAGGCTGTATTAGGCCAAGCCTGGCTGTAACTAGCACCGGGGTCTAAGGAAACGGCAGTAGCTGGGAACCCAGACGGCTCCCTGGCTTTCGGGAGGGCCCCGTGTGAGTAACCCCGGGGGTGTGGGGGGAAACCCGTCGTGCCGCTGCTCTCACCTGCCTGCGGCCCTCGCTGCTCCCACGGCGCCTCCGGCCTCGACGGCGCGTCCGCACCTGTGGGGAAAGGCAGAGGGAAAAGGGGGGTTATTCGGGTCGGGAGTGGCTCCCGCAGGGGTCTCCGCTCCTCCCCGACTCACCTGGCTGCGGATTGCCCTGAAGCCTCGAGGGGAGCGGAGACTGGCTCACGGCCCCACCTGGGCGTCCGTGTCACTCGAGAGGACACACACACACACAGACACACACACACTGAGCACCAAGTGGAGCCCCGGCAGCTGCCCCAGGCCCAGCCCCAGCACAGCACGTCGGGGGAGGCGAGTCCAGCCCGGGACGCGTCTTGGCAGGGCCAGGAGAGGGCCCGACGGGAGAAGGAAAGGGCCGGGGCTTCCCCGGGACGCTCCGGAGGGGCTGCCGGGGGGTGGGGGCTTGGGCGGCCGGGGCAGGGGCGGCAGCGGCCCGGACCGCCCGACGTGTGAGAGTGTCCCGCAGCAGAGAGGGACCTGCGAGGAGCGAGGACAGGGAGAGGGGCAGGGCAGGGAGCGGAGCGGGGCAGGGCGGCTGGGGGCAGGCGCCGTGTGGAGCTGCGGCGGGCGCGGAGCCCGGCCAGGGGCAGCCCCCGAGCAGAAGGGAGCGGCTCCCGCTCCGCCCGCAGCAGCCGCAGCCCTGAGCATGGCAGCAACAGTTGGCTGGCAAGGTAAAGAGACGTGGAGCTGCACCACCGTGGCTCGGATTTCCACTCGCGCCTGAGCTGCCCCCCCAAATCACTGCTGGTTTCCATCCTCTTGAGGGACGACTGTAGGCAGGGAACATACAGGATGCTTTTTTAGCCTTAGCTTGGCTGATCCCTCTTATCACTTCCCTCTTCTTTTTTTCCAAGTTCCCTCTGCTACCTTGTCTCTCCCTTTAGATTATGCTCACATGAATAAAAACCCCGTAAAGACGTTTGCTGGCGACCAGAAAGTACAAATGTCTTTTTTTTCTCTAAATAGAAGAGGATAAATTATTATGAAAATGCGAGTCTACTTGGAAGATATTGTGACCCTTCCACCTTTGTTTTCATCAAGCCAGCAAGTGCTCAAGCTACGTGTCCTGAGCAAGAAGGAAAGGAGGGAGGGTAGCTATGAGGTGCTTTTTCTTTGCCTTCTTTCCTCACTTATCCCTTAGCTGGCCTTTTACTCTTTTCTAAAGTGCAAGCAGGTCTTCAAAATCTCCTTTATCTCTCGAGAAATATTAACTCTTAACCTCGACTGTGGTCCTCGTCCGATCTCTCCTATGCAGGCTTCCCTGAAATGCAAAGATCAGCCCTTTCTCAGACGAATCTCCCTCCGTGCTGCTGTCCGGCGGGGGGAGCAGAGGGGACATCCCTTGTAGTTTCTGACAGCTGAGACATTAGATCGCCCCCCCCCTCATTTTTATTTTACAGCCGGGCGAACCATAGGCCCCTGTGTTGCGTCAAGCGGCCACTCTGCTACCAACTTGCTGCTCAGATTTTGTCTCTTTCACGAAGCTGATCTGCACGGACAGATCCGCTCTTAATCACTCCTTCTTTTGGGGGGCGGCAGGCAGGGAGGATTTCTCTTTGCTATTTATTTCTTGCCCACGGAATCCAGGCTAGTAATTACTGCAAAGAGAGGGAAAATGCAGCTTCCCCAACTCCTGCCTGAGATGCTCTCAGTGCTGTGTGCATGCACAAGGCAGTTTCAGAACCACAGAGCTGGTGCTGATGCTGCTTTGCTCGCTTGCAATCACCTCGTCCAAAAGCATTGCCTCGGCTGGGTTTTCCCTCGGATTCTGCCTTTTTTACCCTTTTCGGGGGCACTAGTTTTTGGAGAAAGAGTGATCGGAGAGATCACCGGACTGCAAGTTGCTTAAAATCAGGTTGGAAGTGGGCAGGGGGGAGGGAGGCGCCTTTGGCAAGCGCTTCCATGGTGCATCTCCTGCTAACTGGGGTCTCCCCCAAACCGCGGCGGATCCGTGCACCTCCCCCTCCTCCTCCCTCCCTATTATTTATGGGGTGATCCCAGTAAATCCCACCCTCCCCACCTCGAAATAAGCCGAGGCTCACAATTACAGAGCATTTAATGAATCGCTCCGAAGAATTTTTTTTATGAATTAATCTCGATCAACTAGGACACCCATATTTTTCAAACACGGCTATGTCCTGAAAGGAGGGGAGGGGGGGGGAAGGTTAGGGTAGGAGAACTTTTAAGAAGTTTTATTCTTTTTTTATTTTTCCATAAATGAAATAAAAACTACCATACAGTTATCCGAATAAAGGTGTGATTTGCTCCTTTAGGCAAAAGTCGATTAAAAAGTTAGGCTACTAGGCGACGGGGAATATTTGGACGTTTGGGGGACCAAGAGGAGTAGGAAAGGGGGGGAAAGGGTGTTTATTTCTCTCACTACATATATATCTAGAGAGACACATATATACACTCACAACGGGAGGGGGGCGGGGGGGGGGGGGGGGACAGGGGAAAAGGAAAGGTGCCAGGAATTAATAATAGAAGCCCACAGAGTCTAGATAAGTCCAAGGCTCGGCGATCGCAGCTGCTGCTCCTTCGGCGAATGCGCCCTCCGCGAATGCTTTTTGGGGTAAGGGCTTCCCGGGTAGGTAGTTATGTACAGCAAGCCCAGACCGCAAAAAGATTCGCGAAGGACAAAGTCTCCCGCAGCTTCCTACATCCATCCATCCGGCTGCCACCACAACATCCACAGGACCCACGGGCGATCGGCTCCGCCATCCCCCGCCACGCCGGGTCCCCACCCCCATCCCCGCCAAGTCCCGTTCCGAAACCCAGGACCCCGCTGGGAGAGGCGGCGGCGGGGGGGAAGGGGGGTGTCCCATCACCCCGCACCCCCCCGCGGCGGGGCCGGGGCCGGCGGTGGGGCCGCGGGAGCGTGGGGAGCGCGGCGTGTCCGCGGCCCCGCTCCGCGCGGAGGCTCCGGCGCTGGGCACGGGCGCTGCGTAAAGAGAAAACTCTCCCCCCTGAGCGCTAAATAAATAGAGAGCAGGAGGGCCGCTCATTGGTGCGGGCTAAAATCGTCACCCACCAATCAGCGGGCGCCTCACACTGCCTCGCTCGGCTTTTTTTTTTTTTTTTTCTTTTTTTTTTTTTTTTTTTTTTTTCCTCCCGAAAGGGGGAGAGGAGAGGAGAGCGGGAGGGAAGGATGGATGGATGGATGGATGGAAGGAGGAAGGGAAAAAAAGAAAAAAGAGGGGGAAAAAGCCCTCTCTATGTTCAATTAGTCACCAAATCCACGACAAGAGCACGTCCGACAGCGCGACCGGGCCAGCCCAGACCCCTTCTCGCCTCTGCCGCTCCCCAAGCCCCTCTCCGGGAATCCTCTGCCAAAGGGGCGCCGTTAAGCTAAGGATCAGCCCCGCCGCGGGGGGCCCCGGGCGCAGAGCCGCTGCTCCCCTCGGCGGGGGCGCCCCGGGCCGCCCGCCACCTCGCGGCGGGCAGCTGGGGACACGGGGGACCTGCCGCTGCCTTCTTCCCTATCTCCCCCGCCTCAGCGCGGGGAGCCAGTCAGACCCGAGGGGCGACCCTGTCGTGGACGGCGGGGGACGCGGGACGTCCCCTCCCCTCCGCTCCTTAGTTCCGTCCTGGGCGCTGAGCCACCCATCACCGCCCTCGGCGAGGACACCCGCTTGCTAAAAGTTTCCAGGACATGTCAGTGAACTCCAGAGGTCTTCTCCTGAAAGCCCGCGGGGAACCAGAGGCCCCGCCAGTGCCCGGCGGCAACGGGAGGAAGGCAAACACACGTCCGCGTCGAGGCCCGCCCGCCCGCCGGGATCCCGTACGAGTTGGGGCAGATACTCGCGCGGGACCGAGAGGACTCGCGTCCCGGCCCAAACTCCAGAACTTGCGGGTCCACCACTGCCCCGCGGCGGCAAAGGGTCCCGCGCGAGCGGCGCGGGAAACCCACGCGTGACGCCCCCGCGCGCGTCCCATCCCGCACGGCAGCGGCTCCTTCCCGACGCTCCCGCCCGCCGGGTGGAACGACGCCCCGAGCCCCCGGCGAGCCCAGCGGCAGCGGCGCGGCCGAGAGGAGCGGAGCGCGGCAGGACGGACAGTGCAGCCGGGGCAGCGCAGGCAGAAGTTTGAAAACCCCCAGTACTTACCTGGCGGGGCGCGTCCCTGGCCGCTCCGGGGAGTCCCGCGCAGGGTGCAACCATCACCAACAGTGTTTTGGTGTTTTTTTGGTGGGTTTTGGTTTTTTTTTGGAAAGCCCAAAAGCAAAGCGTCCCTTCCTCCAGGTGTGTATATAAGTTACTGTACTGTGTGGGAGGGTCACGATCTCACTAGGTGCAGAAGATTCCCCGGGATTAACCCCTCCTCTCCCTACCCCTTCTGCAACTTGTTGAGGATTTTATACACACACGCGCGCAGGCACGGGCACACGGACACACACACGGGCACACACACGCACACACACGGACGGGAGAGCAAGGAGAAAGCGAGCTCCGCGGAGTCCGGCTGCCCCCCGACGCCGTTGTGATTGGATGGTCTTTTCATGGAGAGGGGACGTCTCAAGTCGAAGTCACGATTTCTCCTCAGTTTGGAACCATCTGTGACTGGAGCCATGACGCAGCCAGAGCACATTACTCACTTTTACAGTCACGACTTGGAAATCCGTGCAGTTTCCAACCAAAATTACACCGCCACCATTGAATTATTTAATAGGATCCAGTTAAGGGTAATCTTATGCATTGTGTCAAGTGAGGCAACGATCTAGGAGGGGAGGACTGGGAAGGCGAGGGAGGGGGCGAGGAAGGAGGGCATTTCTTGTTTCTAATGCCTGTTTTGTAGAGATATATTAAGAGTTGCAATGATTGGCTACACGTGTTGTAAGGGGTTTTTTTTTCTTTAAAAAACCAAACAAACAAAATAGATATTGGGTCTGCTTGTAAATACGACCACGCAAGCTCGGGGAAGGGACGGTTTAGACATTAAGGGGAGCCGTGGGTGGAGTGCCGTGCTGTGAATTCAGGCTCTGGTATTTGATTAATTGCAAGAAATGATGTCTTTTGTATGCCTAGATTAGAGCCATTGCATGCAGTCTTGGCCAGGAGGTGCTCTCACCCCAGCCCAGTGTGCTGTGCTATACTGATGTTCATGGCTGCATCATGCCATTGTCTGCAGGATCCGCAATTGTTGCTGGGCTTTGTGTGGTAGGTGCACCATTTTCTAAGCTTGCTTTTACTGCGAGGCTATGGCTAAACGTGCTCCGGGGGAAGCTGCTTCCTTATCTATTGTCTGCCTCGTGCGTTTTCCACCCTTTGCAGGTCTGAGGCTGCAGCTAAGCCCCCTTCCACGGCGGTTTCGGAGGGGATACCGTTGTCCGGGATAACGCGGTGGTGCATGTGAGTGCCGGACGGTGTTTCCGTGTCTCTTTTAATGCAATCTGATGACATGTCTTTGCTAGCCGGAATGCCTGCGAACCTGCATGCTCGTAGCCTAGCGAGAACTTCCCCGGCTCCCAGAAGCGGTGAGGGGATGACGGGTTGTTGCAGCACCGAGGTAACCCTACACAGCTACTCCGTACACACCACAACAATCCCCCACTACTTCGCCTCTAATTCAGTCATTCCACCAACTCCTCTGGTGAGGATATGACTAAGGACGCGAAGGACGGGCAATAATAAAAACAGACGCTCGCACACACACGATCAGCAGAAAGTGTGAGCACTTAGGGGGGAAAAATGAGGTGGGAGGAGAAGGGGTGAGTCCAAATAAAGCAACCTATAGCCTCTTATTTTGCGGAGCACCATCATCAGGTAGAGGCTCTTTCAAACACACGGGCGGGAAGGGCAGGCGGCGCCGGGCGGAGGAGCGGCGGCGGGGAAGCCTCCGCGGGAGCGGCGCTGCCGGCGGCGCTGCGCGGCCCCCGCCCGGCGGCAGCGGGGCCGGCACCGACCCCCGCCCGCGGCGGCGGGTTCAGCACCGGGGCACGGACAGCTCCGGGAGGCCGCCCTGCGGGGAGCGCCCGGCCCGCGCCCCCGGCCCCGCCGCCGGCCCCTGCCTCTCCCCCCTTGGAAGGTGAAAATAGAGGGGGGGGCGGGCGGGGAGAGGGGCTCAACAGCGCCGACAGAGAGAGAGAGAGAGTTGCAGCTCGCTATTGATTCAGAGATTTACCGACAGGGTGATTCCCCTTTCTGCAAGAATTCCCCGTGTCTGGGCTCCGGGCATGCACCAAATTCATTATGTAGAGGAGTATACCCCTATCGCTTTAGAGGAAAAGTAGAAAGGAAGGAAAAAATGAATCCAGGCATGCATAAAATAAAGACAAGACTCACAGCCACTCTCTGCACCATGCACAGGAAAGATCACTACTTACCCAAACGGGAACTCCTCGGTTAGGGGAGGGAGGGGGAGGGGGAGGGGGCGAGGAAAGGGAGGGGGGGAATCCAACAATTAATTTCCAGACAGGAGTTGGAAAAAAAATACTGCGGTGATGTCCAGGTTTTCTTCCACCCGCGCTCGCTTTTTATACAAGTGCAACCCTCTGTCTATTTCTGGAACGCGATCAAAACCCTGATGCTATTTTTAGCAGGTACTGGGGAAAAAAATCTACACACAAAGGCATTTCGCTGGAACGCTACATCCAAAACATTAAATGTGCATTAAGTCTGCCCCCCTACAACACAACAGCCCCCAACCACGCACCCCCCTACCCTAGCTTCTTTCTGCAACACCATCCACATTTGCTTTAGGTGTATCATTGCAGAGGAAAAAAAACACACCACACAACAAAAACAAACAAACAAAATCCACACCAAACGACCCAAACTGACCGCCTTCCATGCTGTCCTATTGCACAACCCCCTAATCCACAGTTGTATTGAGTCTGTCTCTGTGCCTCTCTGCCTGTTGCCTTGCAATCATTATTGTGTCTGTCTTCCTCCGGAGTCTTTATAAAGTGGGCTTTGGAAAAAACACAACCACCATGCACCAGTTTGCCATCATGCACAAATGTGGATTTCAGGCAGGGATGTTTGCTTTGCCGAGAGATAGAGGTGG